GACGTGGCAGATACACATACACGTCAGCTTATATATTTTACTTTTATCATTTATGTAATTGTAAAAATAATTTAATTATAACTAAACGAAAAAGAAAAACAGAAATCCCAAAAAGCTTTCGTCCGCCGCCTTGTCTTCTCCAACGCGACTCCACCGGGAACGGAACCGCCACCTCGGCCCTAGTTCTCTCTCCTCTACTCTCTACGTCTGGCTCGACGATCCGAAAAAAGAAGAAAACCAAGGGTTCAATCATAGGAAAGGAGAAGCAGGCTAAGGTGACAGTGGAGGAGAAGTCTCTGATGGCGGCGGCGACTCGGGATTCTTGCCAGTCCGACGTAGATGAACGGGAAGCAGTTGCGGCGGCGGGAGAAGAAGTGGTGGTTACCTAGATGCGAAATCGAGATGAATTCACCTACCACCATGCAAGAAGCTTTGTTCCGAGAATGGAAGAGTTAGTGTTCCCCCCTTCTGCTTTTGTCATTTGCAATCGACATAAAAAACCAAAAAAGAAGAATTCAATACCCAAATTCAATTCCGTCACTCTGCTACCACTCTGTGTTTCTAATTAGGGTTTTGAATTTGAGGGAAACCATAGAAGAAGGTTGAACAACGTCATCCCCTCACAGGTGCAAACAAATCCCTAATATATACAATCGATAAGCGTATAAAGTCAAATCCAAATAGGTCCAATTGAAATTGACGATGGGTGGTTGCCAGGGAGAGAGAGGGGAACGAACTGGTGGGAGGAGAATGAACAACAATTAGTTGTGGGATGGAGAAATATGAGGTCGGTATGATGAGAGGAGACGAAAGAAGAAGAAGTTGTGGCGCTATGGTGAAGAAGGGGAGGCAGCAGGTGAAGGAGACGATGAGGTGGTTGGGGGATGAAGGATTCTTTTTTCTTTTCCATTTAAATATAATTCAATCATTTGTACAACTAATAATAAATAAAAATAATAAAACAAAATATAAGCTGACGTGTACAAATACTTGCCACGTCAGAGTCAACTAACAGTTGACTGGACGGAAAGTTAACGGTTTGGCTATTAAATTGTTTTCGAAAAGGTTTGGTTATTATTTTGTTTAAAATGAAAGGTTTGGCTATTAAATTGTATTTACCCAGAAAAAAACGAAACCAAGCAAATAAGTATTGAGATTTGAGAGCATAGACCGATGGAAAAGATAGAAGTCTATTGGCTAGTAGGTGCGATATATCCATTTGAATATGTTCTCATTTTCGGCGAGTTCATACATGAATATATTTGATTTGTTACGAAATTGTGAGCTAGAATTGCATCCAGAACATAATACAAAGACTTGTTTGTTAAAAAGAACTGAAGTCTTTCTTAATCCTTCGTATATCTAATCAAATAAGAAGGCCAGAAGAAAACAACTTGGCTGGTTGTTGTGGTGTTGCCGTTATATATGCACTGGATGAACAAAATCATACTACAATATTGATTGGTTTACTAATTCAAACTTGGCTCCGGGCAAATGAAATTACCGTGAACTTCATTGATGCAGTTTTCATTTTTTTTTTTTTTTTTTGTTCAAGTTAAGCGGGAGGGAGGGAGGTTGGTCGGATATGGTCACCCTAAGGCTATATATAGATATGGCATCCACACACCACGCCATTAAGTAACCCAAATCCCTAGTCTCCGACCATCTCCAGAAGAGAGTATTAATTAGCTAACTAGGTAATTTAGCATGGTTCGTCTCTTTGATTTCAAGTCAAACAAGCACTTCGTTGCTTCATCTGACAAATCTACCCTCAAAGTCTACGAGTTGAGCAACCCTACCATTTACCCTTCTTACATCCGAAAGGCTCACTGGAAAGAAGTTGGCAACATCATTCCCCGTGATCACGATGATAGTGATGAAGGCGACGACTATAGTAGTTCAGGAACGAATGAGACATCTTACGACGGGATGATGTTCTTCGACGGTCAAGCAGAGATCAAGGGAAGGGAGGCCCTGACCAAGCTGGCCCAGCACCTCGCTCGGCTGCGACTGATGGTGAGCCCACAAGGGCACTGTTTCAAGGATGTCACCGAACTGGGGGAACACAAAGACTTTGGAATTCACTATCTCCGACTGAACGATCTTTTCAACTGGCCCTTTCACGGGGTCAGCATGGCGAGCCTCACCACATGGCCACGCTGCCTGTTGAAATATACCATGCCGAGTCGGGAGAAGCAGCCTGCCACGACGGCGACGACAGGAGGGGTGAGCAAGGAGAAATACGAGGAGTTGAAGAGAACGGTGAAAAAGAAGGAGGAGGACCTGGAGAAGCTGAGGGAGGAGATGGAGGAACAGGACGAGGAGCTTCAGAAGCTGAAGGAGGAGATGGAGGGGGCGAGTGAAAAGCACGAGGCGGAGCTACGAGAGCTGGAGGAGAAGAAGGACGAGGAGCTGCGAAGGCTGGCGAATAAAAAGAAAGACGAACTCGAGACGCTGAGAAAAGAGAAGGCCGAACACGAGCTGGAGCAGCAACGTCAAAAACAATCTTGGGCGATAACAGCTACGACACGATACTTTTCGAACGACACGGTTCTCAAGAGCAGAAGACAGCCGGTGCCGCTGGATACGTGGTCGGGACTTCTGAGGCGCACGCCATATTTCTCCCATTGGGATACTACTTTCAAGTACGAGCCATACGCCATTGGCGCCTCCACGTGGTTCCCGACGACAATGGTGCAACTGGTGGATGAGGAGCCTAGAGATTGGAACCCTCCGCCTAAGATTTATCTCTTCTCTTCGGGCTTCGGGGCATTCGATACGCAGAATTGGTGGTTCGTGAAGACGACGCATCCGGACGGCGGCGTGACGATGATTGCTTACTATGACGGCAACCGCACCTGGTTCGATGGGCTCGGCTACCCTATCCCGCTTCCTGTTGCTAGGACACATCGTTTTGATACCAACACGCCATTCTTCTTTGTTTACGTGGTTGACAGATACAAGCTTGGGTTCATGTACAGAGACTAGTTTAGCGAGGGTGATCCTCGTGGGAACGCTGCTAGCTATCGAGTTTGAGTTTCTGGTTGTTCTTTTTTTTTTTTTTCATTTTGGTTTCGTTTTATTGGATGTTTCTTTCTCTTATAATTCTAAGTTGAGAAATTTTACAATGCTATATAGTATTGGTACTATAGGGTTTTGCCTTTATGGTACAATTTAAAATTGTACATTTACGTTATGGTACAACTTCATATTGTACCTATACTTTTTGTACAAATTCTTTTATGGTACAACTTGAACTTGTATCTTTATGTGATGGTACAGCTTTAAGTTGTAAAGTTGTACCATAACACAATGGTACAAATTGCTTGAGGGTACAACCTAAACTTATACATTTAATGTTATGGTACAACTTTAAGTTGTACATTAAAGCACCAATACTATATAGCATAGTAGAAGTGCTCTTCTAAGTTGGTGTGTTCTTGTTTATTTATTACTAGATAATTGGCCCGCGCTTCGCAGCGGGTTGTCAAAAAATGTTTAGTCACTTCATTTGGCAATGAAGAAAGATATTTTCTTAAGTGTTCTTAAAATATCGAACAAACTTTTTATGCATTGTATCCTTCAAAAATACCAAAATAATCCGGGTTTGAGTTAATCAGTATGCAAATATAGGCCTAATTCTCGTGCTTTTGATATAGACAATGTACTTATGTCAGGGATTATTAAATCATGAAAACAATCAAGCTTCATTTTCTTCTTTGTAACACTATGAATCACATGATATTTCAATAACCTAAGTTCAAACCTTGGGCCCAACAATCAACGAAAAGAAAGATATATACAAAATGAACATATTGCATGAACTTTGGTGAGGCATGCCCGTTTGAGGCAACTGTTGTCTTCACTCTCACTAGAATGGATCTCGATCGGTCCTGCTCATCTTGTTTGGCCTTATGAGTCCTCCTCGATTTTCTCTGTGCACTCCTTCACATCTAACCTCATCGATACTACCTTTGCGGGTGACGTTTCCTTCCCCTTCAAGCTTGTTTGGATCTCGCATGTGCCTTCGAAGATATGTTGCTTCCTTTGGATGGCCTATTTAGCAAAGATCTCTACCATTGATAACTTAAGAAAAAGAGGCATGATCATCACAAATTGGTGTTCTCTTTGCAAGTGTCAAGAAGAGACGATTTGTTATCTCATGTTCACATGTTCATTTTCAAAAGACGTTTGGGCAAGATTCACATCATATCTTCAGCTACATGGCCCTCTCCCATCAACGATACCATCATTTCTTCCGGCTTGGAGAGGATTAGGGTATGACACAAAGCTTAGTGATTGTATGAAAGTTCTACCTCATGCGGTGTTTTGGTATATTTGGACAGAGAGGAACAACCGAATTTTTAGGAATACCGAATTATCCCCAGTTGAGGTTTGCCACAAGATTCGTCATGCGATTGGGAGATGGCTACGAGCTTTCAACCTTATATCAGATGAGCTCTTTCAGGAATGGGCGAGGATTGGAGTTGGCTAAAAGTTTGTTCTTTTTCTTTTGCTTCTTCGTGTTTTCTTTTCCTTTTTTTTTCTCGAGACTTGTTTGGATTTGCTCGTTTTGTGGGTTTTGATTTTGGGTTGGACCCCCTTCCTTCTTCTTTTTTTTCCCTTGTCTTTGTCTGTCAGTTTCTTTGCCATTTTTTGGCAGTCTCCATCATTTTTGCAATAAAAGTTTCGTATCATCATTCATAAAAAAAAAAAAACAATTGCAAATACGATCCTCAATTCCGAATTCCTTTGCTAAGTTATTGGATGAGAGGAATTGAAAACATGGGAAATGAAATGTGATAGGACAACTTCATAGCATATGGAATCTATTGAACATAATAAGTTGAGAATTTATTAGTGAAAATGATCGGTACAGATAAGTTGATTTTGATGGGGAGAATGGATAGCCCCCTGAATGATACAATGTACTATCTACAAACAACTAAACCCCTCTGCAAAAATTGGAACAATATGCACATAACATGATCAAAGTCCATAAGATATTAGACAGTTTATAAAATTTGATTTCACTTGGTACTAATGTAAACTTCCATGGTTAACTGCAATGTCTGTCAATCCTTACACACTCATACAGTTCTTGCTTTTCATAACTTCCTAGCCCATTCACTTCTACCTATATATGCCTAACGGTAACCAAATCCCACACGAATTGATGACATCAAACTACAATTATGAAGCAAGAATCAACACCTATGACAAATCAGCTTTTCCTCAGCTTCCTAGCAATATCATTGGTCCCAAGTTTAGTGATAGCCTGCAATCAAGACAATGAGAGAATAATAGCAATGAAGTCCAGCCTAATAGCCTGTTAAACAACTTCCCGTGGAAGTAAGGGTTTATGGTTAATGTGTTAGCAGAAGCTAAGAGAAAATGCATAAGATACACAATGAGAATAGCAGAAACAACTATATAGCACATAATAGACCTAATCTATTGAAAAGTTTATCAATTTGAAAGAGGCCATTAGCAGCTCATCAAGTGAATGAATAGAAGAATCTGCAAGACAGATTGAGCTCTATGGAAGAATGATATTTCCACACTGAATTCAAAATATACCACTGCTTAACTTTGTTATTCCAATTTGCAAGATTCTATCTCCAATTTCTTTTCTCTAGAATCAAGCATGAGGAAGGATTGAAAGATATAATAAATTCCATTGCAAATCTCATGTAAAGATTACAAAATCAAAATATGAATCGCATGGAAGGGGCATGCGACCAAAACATCCATTGACTATTAATGACACCTATCAAGGTTCCAATTAAGCTTTTATGAACGGTTTACTTTATCAAATAAAACCCAAAAGGAACATCCTCAAGTTCAAATTATATGCATGGCAAGCTAATTCAGGTAACAATTATTTCTAGTTTAACTGAGAAGGCCTCAAGAAATTAAATTTCAGTGATATGACCCTTCTTACCTCCCTCTGCCTCTCTAGATCGCCCAATGAATCAAGCTGCTACTAAGTTGAAGCTGCTAAGTCTCCATTTCGACCATCCAACCCCTCCAATCTGAATCCAATCAAAGTCCTTTGTGTCAAGTCGGTACACTATGTTGGCCAGATGGTTGTCGGCAGAAATCAGCGGGTTCATGACTTGGTCGCTTTGATTTCCCCTCTTATGAATCAAGGTCTCACCAGGTCAGACCGTGGCAACGGTCAGCTGAAAAATGGAGAAAACGACCTCTTCTCCTTTCTAAAACAAATCGATTTCGGGCCTCTGGTCTAATTCAACTGCGCTCCTTCCAGATCCAAGAGGAGAAGCCGCAGCACCAGAACCCAGAAACTGCTGAAGAAAAAAACTGAAACCCTCGTGCACCCAACCAAAGGAATCAACGGCGAAGCGACTCATGTAATCGGCGTTGCAAGGATGATGCAGAGACGAATGTACTGATCTCTTCTCTGGGAGACAAAACACCGGTGGAGGAGAGGAAAGGGAGAAGGTTTGGTGACTTGCCTAGCCTACATCGTGTCTTCGTAGGGAAATTGGGGGAGAACCAGAGGAGATTCATCGTATTTTCTGTTTTGAAGAAATCGACGGCCAATATCGAAAGTAAGGATCCATTGAAGGCGATCCGCTAGGGTGCAGGGAACTCACCGTAGAGACGCCCACAACCCACTGGACACCTTATACCAATTAGGCGCTATTTATATTCTAATGGTCAGGTTTGGCTACAAAATTCAAAACTACATGCCCCACAATTTTTTACAAGAGTGGTGTGATTCACAGAAATGGTAAGACACAAAAAAAAATTCAAGGTTTTGTCGTTCTAATTTGTAATGTTTCTTAATCTTGTTTGTGATATTTGTAAAATCGATTTGTAATATTATTTATTCATGTTTGTAATGTTTGTTTCAATCAACCTAGTATGTAGCAGGCACTTGGAGGAAGTTCAGGTTCTAACAAACTCCGAATGCTCAAGTCAACTCAATCACTGTCAGAAACAATGGAAAGAATCCAATGACAGGTAACATCACTCTCTCCATTTCAAATAATGTCTATGACAATAATACATGGATTCTAGATACTAGAGCTAGTGACAACATAGTGTGTAACCACTGCCTTTTTTACTGAACTACTATTTGCCGCTAGTAAATTTACTATTTGCCGCTTGTATTTTTACAAAAAAAATTACACTTTTACCCTTTTTAAACCCTGCCCTTTGGACAAACCCTATCCCACAAACCATCCAACGACCGCCGAAACTTACCTCCCTCACGGCGGAGAAGTTTGTCGCCGACCGCAAACCACCCTACCACCACGATTTCCTCCCTCAGCTAGCTAGCCTTCCCGTCGTCTTTTTCCTTTGCCTGTGACTGAAACTTTATCTTCATCCCCTGCCCCGTCGTGGAATCATCATCTTCGTCGTTCTTGTTCCCTATTCTTGGCATCGGCTCAGCGTTCACCATCATCATCTTCTTCGTTCACTAATCCAATCCCAGCACAGACCGAAAACAATAACAGGGAGAAGGTAGGAGCGATGGTTTCAAATCCGGATCGTTGGCAGCATCGTTTCCCATGCGATTTAGGGTGGCCGGCGAGATGGTTCCGACTTTGGATAGAAGAAGCACTCTGACACCGGAGTTCTTGCCTGAAGCCGCGGTCCGACCCGGAGTTCGGACGGCGTCCGAAATCTCTCGTCGGACGGGGTCCGAAATCCGGCGTTCGACGGGGTACGAATTCCGGCATCGAACCGCGTCCGAAACCTGGCGTCGGACGGCGTCCGCAACTCAGCGTCGGACCGGTTACATACTTTTTTTTTTAAATCCGTTTTAAATTATTAATTATTTATTGAGTAATTAAATAAAAGTAACATATCATAATTAGGATTGAAAATTATGAACTAATTCCATTTTTATTTTCCTTATTTCACCCAATATTTATGACATGAATGTTGATTCCCTCAAATCAACCTAATGGCAGACATCTAATGGTATATACATATTATATTAAATAATTATAAAACAACAAAAAGGCAATAATCCATATTTAATTCTATTTCCCTCATTCAAAATTGGGAATTTTCCTTAATAAAACACATTAAAATTCTAATAATTTTGTTTACATAAAAAGAAAGGAAAGCAACATCTAATTCCCAAGTCTATTTCCATATCACTTTTTCAACGATTGCGTCGGTGATTTATTTTTCTGTGATTGCCACCGAGAGAAATTAAGGTTTTTAAATGTAATGGTGGAAATTAAGGAGTTATTATTTCCTAAAACACATGGATAAAAAAAAGTCCTAAAACACTTGCCACCGAGAATTGGGAATTGGATTTTCTACAACCCCTGTTATTTAGGGAATTGGATTTTTTATAGGAATTAGGGAATTGGAATTAGACGTAGGTTATTGTTCGTTAGGATTATTTTCATGCCTTTTCTCATTTAATTATTTTCATTATTACCGGTGGATGTTAATTACGGGATAAGTAGTAGGAGCATATGGTACGAAGTTAATTGGAAATTAATTAATTAAAAATTAATTTAATTGAAGGATCTCTAGTGGTTACGAAAATCACGAAGGAAAAAACCCTGAATTCCGATATGGTGAGAGAGACGTAGGTTAAATTCATTATTTTGCATTCCCTAATTAAGGTAACTCAAAAATAATTTGTATATAATTATTTGTTAATTAACTTCCCTATAAACCTCAATCTTTCCCCTTTCCCCACGTAGATCTGATCTGACCACCGGCGAGTGGTCCAGTCCCCGCGGTTTGCTCCGGAGGGTCGTTACCTCATTCGATGGCTCCGGCGATGGTAGTCTGTCGGCGGTGGTGGTCTGCCGGCGGTGACTCCAGCTATGGTAGCTCTACTGACGAGGTGGTTTGGTGGTGGTGTGTGGGTGATGGAAAGAGTGTTTATGGGGGCAAAAATGTCATTTTAATTTAATACACGAGCGACAAATAGTAAATATATGGTCGGCAAATAACAACCCTCTTTTTTAAGATGCAAATTGATTAATAGGATTCTAGTTACCTTACCTAATGGTGAACAAACACCTGCTACACATGTTGGTATAGTTAAACTTCCTTGTGGCATTTTCATTACAAATGTCTTGTTAGTTCCCTCCTTTGCCTACAACCTCATCTCAGTTAGCTAGTTAACTAAGTGTTCACCTATCTCACTTCTTTTAAGATCCAAACTTTGTTTATCCAGGACCATGTCTATTGACAGAGGATTGGTTCAATTCGAGTAGATAATGGACTTTACCTTCTGAGAGACTCACACATTCAGACCACCAACACCTCAACCTTTTCCACTCACACAGACAACACCATTCAAGACATAGACCTATGGCACATGAGATTAGGACATCCATCATTGGCAAGACTTGAAGAAGTTAGAAAGAACAATAGTGATATAGTTTTACCTATTTTCAAACACTGTGAAGTTTGTCACATAGCAAAACAGAAGAGACTTCCTTTTAATAGAAGCTCCAATACTAAGAAATCTATGTTTGATCTTGTTCATATTGACATTTGGGGTCCAGTTGATGTTATTTCTATTGATGGTTTTAAGTACTTCCTTACTGTGCTTGATGATTACAATAGATTTGTTTGGGTGTTTATAATTAACAAAGCTGAAGCAAGACAACTAGTGCAATCATTTTGTGCAATGACACAAACTCAATTTGAAAAGAAAGTAAAAACTATAAGGTCTGATCAGGGAGGTGAATTTCACATGCCTGAATTCTATAATGAACATGAAATGAGTTGTGTCAGGACACCCCAATAGAATGGGAGAGTAGAAAGGAAACACCAACACTTATTGAATGTTGCTATGTCCTTAAAGTTTCAGAGTGGACTACCTGCTAGCTTCTGGAGTGATTTCATCATGCATGTTGCATACTTGATTAACATGACTCCAATTCCTATTCTAAGAAACAAAACTCCATTTGAGATGCTATTCAAAATTCCTCCAGATTATAGTAATTTTAGAGTTTTTGGATGTTTGGCTTATGCTGGCAATCTGGATGCTAGCAAGACTAAGTTTTCACCTAGAGCAAAGATGACACTTTCCATTGGATATCCTTTTGGTATAATCGGATTTAAACTGTATGATATGGAAGATAATAAGGTGATTATTAACAAAGATGCCATTTTTCATGAAGATGTTTTTCCCTACAAGTAAACTGAGTTCATAAGGTTTGATGAGTCTATCTCTATGCCTTGCAACAAAAATTCCAATCTTCCCATTTTTGACACAGCAGCATCCTAACTTCCTTCTTATCACAATGTGCATGAAATTAATGATCCAGATTACCATCCACAATCACTGTGCAATGTGGAGAGCAATGAAACGAATTGTTGTTGTCCCCGGTCCAAGCATTCATCACAACCGCCACCACAGATGGTGATGGCCCTCGCCTCATCCCCGTTCCAACTTCGGCGGGTCAAATCTTCCGGAGCCATATTCATCAATTTCCCTTGACACAAGGAGTCAATGAGAATCTACTCTTCTTGGATTGGGCCACCGTAGAAGGTTTCAATCCGAAACTGTTCTTCAAACCTGTGGTGAGGGCACTAAAGAAAATAGTCAGAGTACCTCTCCCAAGCGTCCCTCAAGGTCTCTTCCTCTTATTGTTTGAAATGGGTAATCTTCTTTCTCCACTCCGCCGTCTTTGGAGACTCGCTCTCAAGTCTGTGGAACAAAACATTGTTTTGTATCATAGTTACTAGAGCCGGCTTGATCTCGAAATTGTTTGCCGCCACGGGAGGGTGTAGGATTGGCGATTGAATATCCGCCGGACGTGGGGCCATATAGTACCCCATTGTCCTCGGAGCTTCCTCTGCCGCATCGTTAAGGTTACGAGCTTGGGTGGCTCCATCTTGTCTTTGGTTCCCTGTCATTTCTACTCCAACAACGGGTTCAACTTCCACTTCTTCAACTTCTTCTCCACTAAAACCGGAACCCAAATGTTGTCCCCTTCCTTCACTCCTTCTCCTTGCCTCCGCTAGCTCACTCTCCCTTGCTAGGAACCGGAAAGTTCGGTTTATGTCCTCGTCAAGTGGTAGCAAAGGTGCCAGGTTACTCCGGGTCATGCACCACCTACACACACAATTAGAAAACAACACCAAGTCTAGCACAAGCAAAGAACACACTTTCAAAACTGGAAATTAAAAACTAGATTAAAACCAAACAACTTTTTCAAGATAACAGACCGTTGATCCCCGGCAACGGCGCCAAAAACTTGACTAGTCCCGAATACCACAATTAATTCCCACCTAAGGTCCAAGTATAAACCTTAGTCGAGTGCAGTACAGGGCAAGTATGTTTAAATATTGACTCGGGCCGGTCCGTCTACCCCTAATTTAGTCATTTGAATCATTATCTAGCAACTCGGTTTTGGCTGAAAAGTTTGCTAATTAATGTAAAGCAAGACAAAAGTGAATGGATTTGAAAGCTCTTTTGTGAGAAGGATTACTCGGGTGTCGCTTCCCCCTAACTACTACCATGGTATGTTAACCAAAATGATTTCTATGGGCAAGGTGACCGCAAACCGCTAAGGGATGCAAATAGGGTCGTAAACCACACTCTCGATTGCTAAACCGAGGGATACATTATAGGACGTCACTCGGCCCTCTCGGTTTAGGAAATCGATGGTTGACTTACTCCCTTACTCAACCCAATGGTTGGACGGCTTAATTGTGCTTAACCAAATTGCTTAATCTAACATCGAGGTTAGCCCTAAATTAACCTAGATAGGTGACTTAAAAATCCCTAGGAATACCAACTCAATTGAGTCTCCCTTGAAAGGGGGTTTTCCCTCTCAAATCTAAGTTAAAGTGGCTAATAAGATTGCTAAGCACAAACAAGCACAATCAACATGAAAAATACCTCAATCATTGAATTAAACTACACCCATAAACAATCATTCAATTCACATAACATAAACTACATGGTAAATAGCTAGGGTTTTACAACACCCAAGTGAAAAATAAATCTACTCCATGCTAGAAATGAGAGAAACACAAGGGGAAGAGGTAGAAACCATCATCGAGAGGCTTCCAATCTTCTTGGCACTTGTGCTGAACTTCTCTTGGGGAGAATCTTTCCAAATCACCACTTGGAGCCAAACCCTAGCCTCCTTCTCCTTTGGTTCGTCTTTCTCTCTCTAAAATTTGAGAAGAAGGCTTTCTCACTCTTTTGGGCTCCCCTTCTCTCTTCCTTTCAGCTCTTCTTTTAAACAGAAATCGTGCTCAGTTCACGGCCGTGAACTCTGAAACGCGTCCGTGAACTCAAGATGGGCGTCGAAACGCACCGCTTCGCTTGCACGTGTTCATGGTCAACAACTCTAGTTCACGGTCTTAGTGATCGTGAACTCGCCTAGCGTCAGTAGCCTATGGAAATGCTCTGGACGTCTCGACGTTCACGGGCAACAGCTCTTCTTCACGGTCATACAATACCGTGAACATCCAAGGAAAGCCGTGAACTCGCCATTTTTCACCTCTTCTCCTGGTTTTCACTCCTTTTCGTCCAACTTTTGACTCTAGGGCTGGTTTTACCTGTTAAATCCTGAAACATGCTAAACACGAGAAACCTAAGTGAAAAATAAATCTACATGGTAAATAGCTAGGGTTTTACAATACCCAAGTGAAAATAAATCTACTTCATGCTAGAAATGAGAGAAACACAAGGGGAAGAGGTAGAAACCATCATCGAGAGGCTTCCAAACTTCTTGGCACTTGTGCTGAACTTCTCTTGGGGAGAATCTT